ATTACAGCAGAGACAAATGAAATGGAGAATAGAAAAAGAACAAAGAAAATACACAGAACCAAAAACATATTCTTGAAAAAGATCAACCAAACTGACAAACCTTTACTATACTGATAAAAAAAAGAGAGGCTCCAAATGACTAAAATTGGAAATGAGAGTGGGGACATTACTAATGATTTTACTAATTGTTACTAGTGATTTCTGTAATGATTTTACAGAAATAAAAAGGATTATGAGAGTACTATAAACAACCGTATGCCAACAAGTTGAATAACCTAGAAGAAATAGAGAAATTCCTAGAAACCCACTAGTTACCAAGACCAAATTATGAAGAAATAGAAAAGCTGAATAGACATATAAATGGTAAGGATATTGAGTTAGTAATTTAAAACCTCCAAACAAAGAAAAGTCCAACCAGATGGCATCACTGGTGAATTCTACCAAGCATTTAAATAAGCATTAACACCAATCCTCAAATTCTTCCAGAAAATTGAAGAGGAGGGAGCACTTCCTAACTCAGTCTATGAGGCTAACATTACTCTGGTACCAAAGCCAGACAAAGACACCATAAGAAACCTACAGACCAATATCCCTTATGATTATTGATGCAAAAGTCCTCAACAAAATACTAGCAAACCAAATGCAGCAGTGCATTAAATAACCTCATGACCAAGTGACGTTATTCCTGGAATGCAAGAATGGTTCAACATATTAAAATGAATAAATGTAATACACCACAGTAATAAAATGAAGGGGAAAACCACATATTCATCTCAATTGATGCAGGAAAAGTATTGGACAAAAAATCACATCCTTTCATGATAAAAATGCTTAACAAAATAGGAATTTAAAAAACTACCTCAACATAATAAAAGCTGTATATGAAAAAACCCACAGTTAACATCACACTTAATGGGGAAAAACAAAGCTCTTCCTCTAAGATCAGGAAAAGACAAAGATGCCCACTTTTGCCACTTGTATTCCACACAGTTTTGGAAGGTCTGGTTGGGGCAATTAAGTGAGGAAAAGAAAGAAAAGTCATCCAGATTGCAAAGGATAAAAGAAAATTGTCTCTATTTCAAATGACATGATCTTATAAATAGGAAATATGCCACCAAAAAACCTATTAGAATAAACAAATTCAGCAAAGATGAAGGATACAAAATCCACACACACAAATCAGTTTCATTTCTATACACTAAAGATAATCCAAAAAGCAATTAAAAAAAATTCCATTTGCAATGGAATAGCATCAAAAAGAACAAAATACTTGGGAATAAACTTAACCAGAGACTAAAGACTTGTGCACTGAAAACTTTAAAATATGACTGAAAGAAATTAAAGGTGACGACATGAAGCGGGGGGGAAATCAGAGGGGGACATGAACCATGAGACACTATGGATTCTGAGAAATAAACTGAGGGTTTTAAAATCAAAACCTCAATGAGATACCACCTCACACCAGTCAGAATGGCGAAAATTAACAAGTCAGGAAACGACAGATGTTGGCGGGGATGCGGAGAAAGGGGAACCCTCCTACACTGTTGGTGGGAATGCAAGCTTGTGCAACCACTCTGGAAAACAGTATGGAGGTTCCTCAAACAGTTGAAAATAGAGCTACCATACGATCCAGCAATTGCACTACTGGGTATTTACCCCAAAGATACAAATGTAGGGATCCGAAGGGGTACGTGCACCCCAATGTTTATAGCAGCAATGTCCACAATAGCCAAACTGTGGAAAGAGCCAAGATGTCCATCGACAGATGAATGGATAAAGAAGATGTGGTATATATACACAATGGAATATTATGCAGCCATCAAAAGGAATGAGATCTTGCCATTTGCAACGACGTGGATGGAACTGGAGGGTGTTATGCTGAGTGAAATAAGTCAGTCAGAGAAAGACATGTATCATATGACCTCACTGATATGAGGAATTCTTAATCTCAGGAAACAAACTGAGGGTTGCTGGAGTGGTGGGGGGTGGGAGGCATTGGGTGGCTGGGTGATAGACATCGGGCAGGGTATGTGCTATGGTGAGCACTGTGAATTGTACAAGACTGAGGAATCACGGATCTGTACTTCTGAAACAAATAATGCAATATATGTTAAGAAAAAAAAAGAATAAGAAGAAGAGAGCAGGAGGGGAAGAATGAAGGGGAGTAAGTCGGAGGGGGAGACAAACCATTAGAGACGATGGACTCTGAAAAACAAACTGAGGGTTCTAGAAGGGAGGGGGGTCGGGGGATGGGTTAGCCTGGTGATGGGTATTAAAGAGGGCACATTCTGTGTGGAGCACTGGGTGTTATGCACAAACAATGAATCATGGAACACTGCATCAAAAACTAATGATGTAATGTATGGTGGTTAACAATAAAAAAATTATTAAAAAAAAAAAACTGAGGGTTTTAGAGGGGAGGGGTGTGGGGGATGGGTTAGCCCTATGATGGGTATTAAGGAGGGCATGTATTGCATGGAGGATTGGGTGTTATATGCAGACAACGAATCATGGAACAGTACATCAAAAACGAATGATGTACTGTATGGTGACTAACATAAAAAAATTAAAAAAAAATAAAGACAACTTCAATAAGTAAATGGAAAGACATCCCATATTCATGGATAGGAAGGCTTAATGTTGTCAGGTTATTACTACCCAAACAATCCACAGATTCAATGCAGTACCTATCAAAATCCCAACAATGTTTTTTGCAGAAATAGAAAAACCCATCCAAAAATTCATATGGAATCTCAAGGAAACCCAGATAGCCAAAACAATCTTGAAAAAGAATAGAGGTGGAATTCTCATGCTTCCTCACTTAAAAACTTGCTACACAGGTACAACAAAACAGTGGCATAAAGACAGACAAATAGACCAAGGGGATAGAGAGCCCAGAAATAAACCCTCCTGTATATGGTCAAATGATTTTTGACAAAGATGCCAAGACCATTCAGTAGGCAAAGAAAGGACAGTCTCTTCCACAAAGAGTGCTGGGAAAACTGGATAGATACATGCAAAAGAATGAACATGGAGCCTTACCTACCATGTACAAAAATTAACTCAAAATGTATGAAAGACCTCAATATAAGACCTAAAACTATAAATATACAAATGGCTAACAAGTATTTGAAAAGATGCCCAAGGTCACCAACCACCAGGGAACCATAAAACAAAATTACCTTGAGATTCTATTCACACCCATTAGAATGTCTATTTGCAAAACAAACAAACCCAGAAAATAGCAGGTGTTGCAAGGTTGTGGAGAAATTGGAACCTTTACATTAACTGACAAGAATGTAAAATGGAAAACAGTATGGAGGCTCCTCAAAAAATTAAAAACAATTATATAATCCAAAATTCCACTTTGGGGATATACGCTAAAAAGAATTGAAAGCAGGAACTCAAACAGGTATTTGTACACCAATGTTCACAGCAGCATTATTCACGGTACCCAAGAGTTAGAAACACCTAAATGTCCTTTGATGGATGAATGAATAACCAAAGTGTGGGAGGAGGGAGGATGAGGGAAGAAGAAGCCTATGATGACCCATGAACACCAAGTCCTGGGCTTCCAGGAAGAGGAGGAAGCACTGGGCATGGAGAGGAGGAAAAAGTCCTGGGATTGAGCCCCACATTGGGCTCCTTGCTCAGCGGGGAGTCTGCTTCTCCCTTTGCCTGCTCTGCCTGCTGCTCCCCCTGCTTGTGTTGACAAATAAATAAATAAAATCTTTAAAAAAAATAAGTATCGAAAAGCAATACTCACCTTTCGTACTAGTTATGTGCTAAAATTTTCTATAGTTTTCTAAAATAGTGAACGTGATCCACTAAATGGATTCACCATACATCCACTAATGGCTTGTTGGTCCCAAGGTTTCAAAACCACTGGATTAGTGAATGTTACAGGAGTGTTAAAGACATACCAGTACCAGCCTGAGAGCTTCTCCTTGAACTTCTTAAGACTTGAAAGACCCTTGAAAAGGAAGTCACTTTTTCAGGGGGTGATTAGATGTTATTTCACACTGTTATCAGTCAATCCCACCAACAGACATGCTGTCCCACTCTCTAGAACACTGACCGGGGATTCTACCTGGTGGGAAGATGGGGTCGTCCTCTCTCTAGGAGAGTGGAGGGCCAGGGGGCTTCCTCAGTGCCATCCTGCACACACAGGATCAGGTTCACGGCCTGTCAATAACCAGAAGGTTCGTCAGGGGTGGACAGGCCTTACATTTCTGAATCACAGGATAAGCGCCCTGGGCCCTACACATCTGTCTAACTCTGTTAGTATTCTGTAGCTGCTGTAACAGATCAGCACAGACCTTGTGGCTTAAAACGCTAATATTCTCTTACAGTTCAAGAGGCCAGAAATCTGGAATCCATTTCACTAGGCTCAAGTTGTCAGTAATGCTGGTTCCCTCTGGAGGCTCCAAGAGTCTGTTCTCCTGTTCTTCCCAGCATCTGGTGGCCACCTACATGGTTGGTTTGGCCCTTTCCCCATCTCCAACGTGCACTGCTCCTCTCTGGGTCCACCAGCACACCTCCTTCTCCTCCCACCCTCCTGCGTCTCCTTGTAAGGACCCTGTGATTGCACCGGGCCCACCCAGATACTCTTGGGTAATCTCCCCATCTCAAGGTCCTTAGCTTAATCACACCTGCAGACCCCCTTTGCCGTATGAGGTAACACATTCAGAGGTTCGAGGGACAGGAGGGGACATTTTAGGGGCCATCATCCAGCCGGTTGCAATAAACCAAGAAGGATTTAAGCAGGCAGGTCCCGGCCAGGGCAGAGCCAGGAGCCGAGAAGAGCTCTGGCCTCGGGTGGAGGTGAAGGCCCAGGTCAAGGTAAACCCCCACGTGGATGCTGGGGCCCGAGATGAGGCTGACTCAGAGGGAGCAAGCCAAGGCTGGAGGAAGATTCGGGATCTTTGGTTCAGCTGACGTGGAGGTAAATGAGAGCCCACCCAGGGGAGCAAGGAGCGGCGGAGGACCAACGCAAGGGCGATTGGCAACAACAGGTTTATTTCAAAGAGAAGTCAATGGGCACAGAAGGTGATGTGACAGCCCTAGGAGCTGAGGCTTCTCAGGGTGTGGGATGAGGCTGGTGGGCCAGGTGTGGCCACCACCCAGGAAACGTGGCCCAGCAACTCTGGGAAGGTCAGTGGCTTCAGCTCCTGGCTCGGCACGGGCCTCCAACAGATTAGTAAGTAATTTCCTTCAAACCTGAGGGAAGGAAACACACAGACGCTGTTAAGAGACTCACCATAGAGCAGAGCAAGCAGACTAAGGTGGGAGAACAAGGCCCTACCGAACCCCAGGCCCACGGCCATCAGCTCAGGGACACAGGCCACACACCTCCTCACGCAGCTCTGCTCTCCTGCGTGGTAAGAGGAGATCATCCACAAGGAAGCAAGGGGTTGGACGAGGCTGTGTTTATGGGGGTTTTGAAGGGATTCAGAAAGCACTGTCACAGCTTATGGGCTCTGCGGTTAACTCCAGAAGTCTACCCGCTCGGCAATGAACCCCGAGCAAATGCAGAGACGGGATGATCTTTACCTCACACATACAGTACTGACGTCACAAAGCAGCCCCTGACAGAAAAATGTTCCGGGTGTTGTTACTTTATGAAAACTAGAACCAGCTTAATAGGATTACAAAAGAGCTACATTTCCAAAAGTGTGGCAAAGTTGAGTCAATCTGGACATAGTGTCATGACAGAAGTTTTATAATGCCATGAAAATTATGCTCACTGAGCATTTCTCACAGCGAGGGGAAATGGCTGTTAGGATACTTAAGTGGAAAAGATCAGGACTCCAGGTACATAAGTGCAGAAATTCAATTCTGCTAAAAACAAAACATAGCTAGAAAAAGAGTGGAAGGAAAAAGCTACCATAGCTTATCTCTGAGTGATGGGCACGCAGCTGATTTTTCTCTTCTTCACTGGACTTTTTAGAAGCTTCCAAAGTCTCTATTAAGAATGACGTTTTTAAAATTGGGGGTTGTGTGTGGACAACAGTATAAAATCCCACTAATAAATTCTTTTAAATAAAAAGACAAATTTAAAAGGATTTTGTGGGCTGAACTGTTGGGTAAATTTATAAACTACTGGATGGCTAAGCCCCAGGGGGATGATTAACAGCCTCATGTCAGCATGGAATGTTCAAGCGGGAGGCTGCCCTTGATGTGTCATGTTCTGTGTTTTGTCTGGGCTCCCTGCCTAAGGCTGTATGTCATTGGACGAGTCTGCAGGACGCCGTCCGTGGGACACCTGAAGGGTGGCTACTCCAGTTAAGGCCACACTGGGATCTCAAATAGTCTCCACGGGGCCGGAGAGATGCCCAAGGGAGGACCTCGGAGGAAGCAAGACCCACGTGGGGCAGCTGTAAAGGAGGAAGTGGGTCAAGACCGAGGAAGCGAGTAACACTGAACAGGATCCATGCTCCCGCCATGGCCCTCCTCTGCCAGGCGAGGCGACTTCACCTTAATCACAGAAGGTAAGGGGAGAAATTTGACCCATAGCTGCATGGGTTTGCTGGAGACACACAGAATGATTTGTGTGTCTGACCTCTAGTAAACCTGGTTATAAGGTGATTCAAAAGACAAAGATCGGTTACTTTTATTAAGATTACTGCTCTAAACTCTCAAGGTCTCTTCCCTTCCAACAGAGGAAATGTCAGAGGAGACCTCTAAAGGGCTGTCAGTTTGTTAGTGCTGGTACACATGATTTATCTGAATGATTCACCTGGTTTCTGCGCTATAAAACCAGAGGATATAACAACTCATTTTCTGCCTATTGCTCTTGGACACATGTGTCCGATACTCTAGTTCTTTCCAGGCATGTTTTATGGAGTTTGGAGACAAAAAGATCCCCATTTCTAGGGCAAATCAACAAAAGTAAAATCACGTACCTAGTGCATGTCCTCCTTTGGTTGCCCAACAAAGGCAGTAATGCTGCATGAGCTGTTCGAGAAGTTCCATTTCATCCAGGAATTCAAGTGACTCTATTCTGTGGGGAGAACAAAAGTAGGACAATATCAAGCTCTACAATTAAAAATGAAGATGATGACCCAAAGTTTATGAATATGGAAAGATGTTCATATTATACTAAGAAGAAAGAAGAAGAGAGTGCAATATAGTATGTGTGGTGGGGTTCCATTTTATCTTTATTATAAAAATAATACCATAAATAAAGTCAAAAGACAAATGACAAACTAGAAAAAAATTTACAACACAAATGACAAAGGATAGATTCCCTGCTCTGTAAAGAGTTGTTATATTTCATGAGAAAAACTTTTAAAACTCATTTAAAAGACAGGTAAAAGACATATTCACCGAAAAAGAAAAATAAGACGCTCTCAGTCTCATTAAAATACGATACTTTTTCAACTATCAGATTGACAAAGATCAAAAAAAGGCTGATATGCATTTTAGCAAGGACATGGGGGAAAGGTGCTCTCCTGCATTACTAGTCAGATTACAAAATGGTACAACCTCTCTGCACGCAACTTGATCTCCTCTATCAATGTTGAAAATGCACATCCTTTTACTCAGCAATTCTGCCTTTAAGATTTTACCCTATGAGGGGTGCCTGGGTGGCTCAGTCAGTTAAGCGTCTGCCTTCAGCTCAGGTCATGATCTCAGGGTCCTGGGATTGAGTGCCACGTCGGGCTCTCTGCTCAGTGGAGAGTCTGCTTCTCCCTCTTCCTTTGCCCCTCCCCTAGCTCGTGGTCTCTCTCTTGCTCTTTTTCTCTCTCAAATAAATATATAAAAAATTTTTTTTAAAAAAGATTTTACCCTATGAGTACAAGGAGGTATGTTCCAGAATATTCACTGCAGCATCATAGCATAAAACCTTAAACCAGAAGAGCTGGGTTAAATAAATTAAAGCACATTCATACAATAGGATAATATGCACCCATCTGAAAGAATGGAATAGGTCTATATGCCTTGACACAGAACAGCCTCTAATGCTTACCACAGAGTTCAAAAACTAAGTTGTGTAGTAAATAATGTGCAGGGCATACTATTATCTATGAAAGAAAAAGTGGGGGATATATGCGTTTGTATATGTATAGCTCTCCTCTGGAAAATACAGAAGAAACTGGTAATGGTGCTTGTCTCTTGAAGGAATGTAGTGAGGGAAACAGGATTGAAGAGTTGGTTTTTGTTTTTACTCTACATTACTTTATTCTGTCCATTTTCTTTTATCATGTGCTGGTATGATTTTTTTCAAAAAAGCATTTAAAATGTAAACTTTAAAACATATGCACACACAAAGAAATATGCAAAACATATAAAATAGCTTAAAAATTTTTTTCTGTTAAAATATGGGCACACTGGGGGAAATTTCAGACATTTCCAAAAAGTATTAAGAAGAAAATTTAAAATGATCCATATGCCCACTATTCACAATAGTCATTGCTAACATTCAGGTATTGCCATTAGTCCAGGCTGGGGGTGGAGGGAGGGGCATACATACGTGCATTTGCTACGCACGTTTCTGTATTTGTGCTTTTGTTCCTGTCTTGGTAGGCAGGCCTAAGGGTCACATCTGAACTGAGAGTGACTATGCATAAGGTACTTGACTTGTCTCTCCCAACTCATCTTACCAGAAGACACACGAGGCAGATTTGCTTCTACAAAACACCAGCACCATAATGAAGGCTCCAGGATGTTTAGCACCAAGTTCAGCTCTTAGGAGACACTAGATTGTGAAGCCGTTCCCTAGAACGTGAAGCTCCAAGGCAGGCGTATCTTTTGGACCATTTTGATCTCTGTTGTACGCCTTGTGCTTAGGAAAGTACATGGTGCACAGTTGGCACTCATATTTGTTAAATAAACAGGCTTGCTTTAGACTTCTTTTTTATACATAGTATCCAGCAGAAGCCCCGCGGCAAATGCAGACACAAACTACCAGGCATTCCCACACCTGGGAGGGCTGTTCGAGCAGCCTTGGGCAGACAGACAAAAGCCCATCCCACCTCATTCCCCTCCTCTGTCAGGGATACACAGCGCTGACTACACAAGGCCATGACAATACGAGACAAATGACAGCCTAGAAAAAAGTTGCTCCCGTGACAGTTGCCACCAGTTACGGGCTCCCCCCTGGGCATCCAGAAGAGCTGCTAGAGCATTTCTACTTTAGATGCCTGACCAGGGCTATTCAAAACAGCACCTTGACATGTAGCAAATGAAAACCAGCCTGCGGGAAAGGAAAATTCTAGAAGATTCCAGAAAACATGGACCCGATCACATGGAGATATCTCTTTCACAAACTGTCAAGGCCTTGATGTAAACATTTGGAAAAAACAGTCATACTTCTAAAAAATTAATAGCAACTTCTGTGGAGAAGAAAGGCCTAAAATTCTTCTGATTATCTTGTAAGAGACCTATACCTGTAGGTCCCCAGAGGCAAGAGGAAACACAAACCAGGGAGTATAAAGTAACGATAAAACAAGAACTGAATTAAAGCTGGCACGAACACTGCCCAGAGATAAATGCGATGTTGTTTATAAAAGGGAAATTAAAGCACAACAAAATAAATAATAAGGCACAACTAAATGCCCAGCACTATATGCTACTTTTTAATTACTATAAAATTATTATCACCGATTAATCCACCCACATAACAATATAAATACTATACATCATTGAACAGGACACGGGAACCTTCTATATTTGGGTATATTTTGGTATGTGAAGAGAAATACAATCAATTGTTAAGTTTCTAAAAGAGGATGGTGATTTATAGACCAATGCATGTAATATGAATCTACTGATTCAAAAACCAGAAACCTATATATCAATAAATATTCACCTTTATATACACACAGAAAAACGCACCTCAATTTATTAACAACAGCAATTTCTGAAGGTGCAGCTACAGAGTGTGAAACTACTTTGTATTTCAGGCACATCATACATAGCTTGAAAATTGTTTTCAAACAATCTATTTTGTAATGAGGGGAGAAGTCCGTTTAAAAATCTGCGAGCAGACTTTTCCCTGAAGCCCTTGGATAACATCATTCTCCTCTTCCTCCAAAACACAGGGATTGTGCAAATTTCCACTTGCAGAGGGTGCTCTGGGAGTGTTACAGGTGCGATTGCTTATTTTGACTAAAATAATCTGTGTTGGCATAAACCCTATCTCAGTGAGTGGCTAATGAGTTACTCTCAAGGTGCTATCAATGGTTAGTCTGTATTAGCAGATTAACCTGTTTCAAAATAAGTCAAGTTAGGGTTTGAGGGTTTGTTGTTGTTGTTGTTTTTACATTAAAGAGAGTTGTCTTTAACTCATAATTGTTCGCCACGAGGCTAACTATTGGCAATCCCGCACCTGCTCACTTCAGCTTGAGGCAATTTGCTGTACAGTTCCATCATGTCGACTGCTGACGCCGTTTCCCACCCATTCGACAGGAGCCGTTCTTTCTAGAATGTGTGGTGGAGAGAAACGGAGAAGGTACAAGGCATTGGCATAAAAATCCAAAACACTCTTTAAGCACATGAAAATTTATCTTAGAAATCTTTCGGAAGCCTATTCTGGCCCCTATCTTCCTTCTTTTTATTTTCCAATTTTCTACACCAAACATGCACTACTATAATGGGAGAGACGTCACTAAAGTATATATTAAAGAGAAATAAAGAAACTTCTCTAGGAGGAACAGTTTTTGAAAGCATTCGAGTGGTAATGTGACGAAGACATGTAAAATCTAACCTATTTAATGGAGGCAGGAAAAAAAAGAAGATATTTAGAAAAATCTATTAGATTCCAGTGGGGAGCCTGGGTGGCGCAGTCGGTTAAGCATCTGACCCTTGGTTTCAGCTCAGGTCATGATCTCAGGGTTCTGGGATCAAGTCCTGAGTCGGGCTCCGTACTCAATGTGGAGTCTGCTTGAGATTCTCTCTCCCCACCTCCTGCCCCCTGCTCCTCCCGCTTATGCTGTCCTTGTCTCTCTCTCAAATAAATAAATAAAGTCTTTAAAACAAGGTCTATAAGATTCTAAGAAACTTCACTTGATCTTAAAACTTAAGGAGCAGGGCGCCTGGGTGGCTCAGTTGGCTAAGCGACTGCCTTCGGCTCAGGTCATGATCCTGGAGTCCCGGGATCGAGTCCCTGCTCAGCAGGGAGTCTGCTTCTCCCTCTGACCCTCTTCCCTCTCGTGCTCTCTATCTCTCATTCTCTCTCTCTCAAATAAATAAATAAAATCTTAAAAAAAAAAAAAACTTAAGGGGCATGTCAAGTACAAAGATTGGACCATGTTTGGATCTATTTCAAACACACCAACTATAGAATTTTTTTTTTTTAAACAACTCGGGAGTCTGAACACACACTGCGTAGTGTGTGCTATGAAGGAGTTCTGATTGATTTGTGAGGTGTGGCCAGGGTATTACCATGATCCCAGGGGGAAGAAAGTCCTTACTGGTAGGAAATTCATACTGAAGCATTTATGGGCAGAACAATATACTGTCTGGGATTTGCCTTAAAATACTCCAGTGATAATACCAACAAAAAATGGGGATAAATAAAACAATATGGACAAAATGTGAATTACTGAAATGCGCTGATGGGCACACGCTGTTCCTTTTACTATTCCCTCTGCTTTCATATTGTTTGAAAATCCACATGATGGAAGTTTTAAATCCTAGGGTATAGGAAATGTCCATGTGTATTTTCCACACCAAGGGCTTGGACTTCCCTAGCCTGATGAATTAGCAGCCCCCAGGGAGCCCCAGCTTCTCAGATGTGTGAAGGGAAGGTGCCCTTCCCTTGGGGGCTCAGGGCACCAGAGTCCTCACTCTCTGACCTGTGACTCTAACGACTTGCAGGTCTCCACTCCCGCCAAGTCACATTGTCGCCTCCGCAGGTTCTCGATCATGATCTGTCCAAACCGGTCATCCATGTTCACCTGGGAAGGGAAAGAGGAGGCTGGGCACGGCCACAAGGGTTTCTCTGTTTCTCGAATATGCAAAATAAGACAATACCACTCTATTTCTAACCAGTCAAGGCTGATACCCAGGGCAGGTCACGGAGTCGGGTGCAGGCACAGTACACAGGGCTGACAAGGGCGTACACTGAGACAGCCCCTAGAAGGGCAGCTGGATGGGCTGTGCTCGGCCTGCTAGCACGCTGTTCTGTGGGTCTACTCGTTTGTGCACACAAGGGTGCAAGAATGTTTACGGCAACATTACATATAACAGGAAGGATCTGGGAAGAAGTTAAATGCCCATCACCTGGGGTCAAAGAAATTCTGGCATGGTCATTTAATGGAATATTGCATTGCCATGGAAACAGGAAGAGAAGAGGATATACATGTAGATACAGACACAGACACAGATATGGAATGATTTCTTAGGTAACAAACTTTTGAAAGGTCAGGTACAAAGGAATGTGTAGAATATGCTCCTATCTGCCTTTAAGAAAAAAAAAAAAACACAACTCTGTCTACATTTATATATGCACAGAATAATTCTGGAATCTGGCCATGTTGCTTCCCATGTTATAGGGCTAAATTCCAGGGTAGGAGAGAGACATGCCTTTCCCTGCCTACCCTTTTATACTAGTTGGTTTTTAAAAAACTGTGCATGTGCTGTTACTTTTTGAATAAAGAACCATTTTAAAACCAGTTTAAAAAACCATTAATGTGTATATACACACGGATGACACCGTATACATTACCATAGCGTATATGCTATTATCCTGTCACACACAAGGTATCAAAACTTCATCGCTTTTATAAAATGATGCCCAGAGTTCCCGTGACGACATTGCCAGACAACACCCAGTATTACTCTTTTTTGGTGGATGTATGAGGCTTATGGGGCACTAAGGTCACACTGCCTGCTATTCCTTCAGGATTGAAGGGTGTCTGTGAATACACGCTCTGTTGTTTCATTGCCTGGGTTGATATCCTGGCCTGATACTCTCTAGCTGTGAGGCTGGGTGGCTGTGGGCAAGATGCCTAATCCCTCTGTGCTTCGGTCCCCTTCTCACAAAACCTGGGGGGCTATTGTGATAATCAAGTAAGTTAACACATGTAAAACTTATGGGATGTGCCTGCTAGTCAACAAATTCTACAAAGTTGCTATCCTTCTTACATCAGTATTGACATGTTCATCATTTATATTTATGCAGTTTTTGTCATTTTAAACTACTGATCAGGGGCGCCTGGGTGGCTCAGTTGGTTAAGCGACTGCCTTCAGCTCAGGTCATGATCCTGGAGTCCCGGGATCGAGTCCCGCATCGGGCTCCC